AATCCCCCGTATATTGGAGTAGAAAGTACAACAAGTTGGACCGCAACATTCATAAATAGTGATCACCACCCGATGTCGTGGAGAGAAGACAAAGTGTCGAAGATTCCAAATACGATGCCACTGATTATGAGGAACCAGTCGAGGCTCCGTGGCATCACCGACAATGAATCTCCAAAAACTCGCAGGTGCATCCATCCCGGCAATACAAATGAAAGCACGCAGCAGACGCTGCTTCCCACCAGTGACAGGAAGTTGCCGAAGTGTGGAACCGAAACTGCAATCCACGCAGTGCATAGCACAATGAAGGTTCGAAGAAACTGGCTTGAGCGGCCCTGCAATGACAGGCGGCGCTCAGCTACTTCGTAAACTGGGTGCATCATCACGGGATATGTGAAGATCAATCCCATGCAAAGGCATACTTTCACAACCACTGTCTGCCATGAGTTTCCCAGATTGAGTCTTCCAATTCAATCCCATAAAATCCATGCCATAGTCGCTTGCGAGTGTTCTGCTCGGGTCTCCACGCGAGCCTCGCAGTGGTGAAGAGAGAGAGTTTGCTCTAGCATATACTGAAGCCAGATTCTCACCGATGAAAATGAGATATGCAACACAGAACCCTACCTGGCTGACCACGATCATGGCGTCCACTGAGACTTGTCCAGCCATTCCAAGGATGTGACGCCCAAGCTCACTGTACGTGTTGACGCTGTCAACGATTCCCTCTCTCTCGAGGTGTCGTCGGCACGACACCAGAAGCATCATGCAGTAATACATTGTTGCGGATGTTCCTTCCAAGATGAGCAACCCTTGGAGCCATCCTGACTGCATGAAAGCGTGAGGTAACCCTAATACCCCTGCTCCCACTACCATGATCACAATGTTGAAGAAAGTCTTGCATGAAGAGGAAAGAGGTCGATGATGCACGTTTCCCAGAGGAAGACGAGGGATTGACTCATAAGGCTTCACTGAGTTTCCATTATCCTTAGACAAGTCATTACCTACCCCCATGATGCTGAGCAAACTTCCTACACAAGAGCGATTGTTTTTGCACTGGAACTGCTCTCAGGGTTTAACCCTCGCAGTAGACTTCACAGGATTCTCTCGAAATAAAACCGTTGGGGCACCATGAACCTTGCTCTGCACAAATCATGCACGCCATTTCAGTCGAATATCTTATCACGAACACAACGACGCGAGTACTTGGTAGCCTGATTGGGGCGAAGCACCTGCTACTCCTGACATAAGAAACTTCATGATTATGCTAATAAAACTTTATCATAATCTACGCTTGTTAAGTCAGCAAAATGGAAGACTCAATCCACATCCACGCGATTTACGACTGAAATACTTCCTCACACCCAGAAGTGGCTTTGTTGCGAGACTCTGTGTATGAGAACTTTAAAAAGAGAACCTAGGACTTGCAAGGATGAAGGTCGTACAGCCAGGCTTTTCAGCTTAGTTCTTTGCTCAAAAAATATTCACGCAGTCAGTTCAACATAGGAATTCTCCTCCGTTGCAAAAACTCCTCTCGGTGAGTCCGCACGAGCCCATGCAGGACTACCTGAAATGTCAACACTGTACTCTGAACCACTCCACTCTACATGTAATCTCCAAATTCGTCCTGTTAGTCAAATTGCAAATGCCCTAAAAAACTGTCAAATTCGCCTGAAGGGACTGTGGAAACTTTGCACGTGGCAATCGTCCCAGAGACCTCAAACATCGCGCCACAGAGCAAAGATGTCAAACCTCTGAGTTCGACAACCATGAAACGATGCCTCATCATGGCAAGCCCGTGCGTCAATAAGGAAGAGCTGACAGACCTAACAGAACGCAATCAAGTTCAGATCCGATTCACAATCATCATTCGTTCTTTTGTCTTCCTATTTCCTTCCAATCATGCTAAATTTGAAACTCAGCACTTACCACATGACTACAATGAACACGCCATCTCCCAGGAGCTGAATCGAAAAGGAAAAGCCCAGCAATGGAATCACCGACCTTCCGAATCAAAAAAGCCTCTAAACTACCATCAAGAGCCTTCCTCCACAGTTCTCGCACGTGCCCAATACAGTACATTTATGACCTCACCCAATCAAAGCTCGCAAGATCCTGACAAACCACTCGGAATACGAGGAAACGACTGGATCAAAATCCGGCACGCAATCACTAAAATCGACACAACCCCTTGACCATTCCATCCCTGCCAGCGAAACTTGGGCCGCTTCGCACGCCGCCTGCTCAACATCTGCTGCACTTTACCCAAACCACAAATTCTTTCCCTCTCAAACCCACTTCAGATATTAGTCCCATCCACTCGAGAAACGCAAACTCACCTTAATCTTATCAAGTGGACGCAACGAAGAGAAAAGCGCCAACCCGTCGAATCAAATCGTTTCATACTGGCGCAATAGAGGAGAAGCATGGAGGCGCTTGGGTGGATATCCAGTAAAGAAAATTCTTGTCGATCTTTGCGAACAAGAAAGGGAAAAAACTCACATTTACTGCGATTCTTTCCGTGGGCGTGACCTCGTACCACTGAGGAGTCCCTGACGCAAAGGATCATCCCATTAGTGCCACCATAACGATGAATTATGGTCAGGGCCTTTAAGACAAAACGCCCTCGTGGCAACTGACCGCGCCTCAAGTCCCGAGCAAGCCTTGAGGATGATGACCCCCGTGGCAGATCAGTGTCCACGTCACCCGTCCTTCAGGCTGACATGGCATGCTTATGTGGCGCTCTTTCTCGCCCTGCTGGCACGTCAATCTCGTGTGGTGGCACACGACTGGTCTGAAATGTTGGAGCCAATGACGTGCGACGTGTGGGTAATGTTACCTTTTGCTTCAACAACAATGCTAACGCTTCATTCCTTTTGAGCTTTTTGAGTTGGGTTCCTTTTACGCCGTTTGTGTAGTGATGTCATTCTCCCTTTCTACTAAATATGTTGCCTGTTGTACAAGGAGTGGCAAATGCAAAAAAAATCTAAATTTATCCTGTTTTAATTATTCATATTTCTTTGACATCAAGGGACCAAGAAAAGATCCTTGCAATTGTGAGCAATGATGCATCATGGTAATTCCAATATTAAAAAATAAATAGTTTATGCAAGTTAACAACTCCCCATAAATATTAAAAATATAAAAATAGATATTATTTTCTATGAAACATATATAATGTATTTAGATATAAAAGTTTGATTTTATTTCTAAACAACATTTAAAGATGATCACAACTCCAAAACTTAATAATTTATTGTTTATCTTAAAGTACTCAATATAAGAATGTTTACCTCAAGCCAAAAATCTAATAAAATGTAGGTTTTTGTATAGTTTTTGATTTTGATGTTAATTTTTTTATTCACATTCTTATCTATGGCAACGAATCCTATTATAAATATGTTGTTTTACTTTTAAAGAGAAATATAATTCTTTTTTCTATCTTTATTAATTTATTTAATATTTTAAAAATATACAAAAAAATACGTAATTCTTAAATTTTAATGATATTTTATTATTATTACTATTAAATATTATAGACATTTAAAAAACAGTACATGTGTTATTTATTTTTACTAATTATGTGGATGTATTAACTTTAAGGTAGCAATCTCTTCAATATTTCCAAATTGGAGCTATATTTTAACTACTTCTCTTATAAATTTCTACCATTACTTTGTTCTTCTACCACATAAATCTATTGAAAAACCACAATACAATCCTAAAAATCTTCATATTAAAAATTTTATTCTATAACCTTTTTGATTTTTTATAATGTAGTTATTTTATCCCTCCTTTAATTTAATTTAAATATGTAGTTATAATATTATTTTATGATTTTTTATTCTTGATAAATGTATCATGTTTCATAACCAAATTTTAATAAATATTTTTACTTTTCTTCAAAAAAACTATATAGGGAGTTAATTCATGTTTCTTTTGATGTCTCTTTTTAAAAAGTATGTTTTATTTTTTTATAATAATTTAGTTATCTTATTATTTTATTTTATTTGTGTGATATTTTTAATTTTAATTTTAGTTCAAGATTTTAAATCTAAAAATTATGCATTCAATTTTTTATTTTATTTTATCTTTAAAAAAAATCAATATGCTGAAACTTCTTCAAATTTTTTTATATAAAATTTGAAAACATATCTTGTAGTTTAAAATTTAAAATTAAAAATAGAAAACCTTTATTATGAAATCACTATAAGTTTAAATAATAATTTTTGTTTCTTGATAACCATGGCAATATAAGATTATTAAAATGGAGGTTTTGTAACATAATCAACTAATTTAATTATTGTTATTACATACTTTCGTTTTCAAATAAGTCTTGTCTTTTAGCACAACTCTTCGATCATTTTTACAGAATGTAATGAAAACATTAATTTTAGCATTCATATTATGCAAAATAACATATAATAGCACAAATCATAATAACTTATAATAGCACAAATCATAATAACTTTAAGAGTACATAGTATCATAAAAATTCAAAAAATAAAATAAATCATTAAATAATTTTAAAGCACAAGTATAATCTTATCAAACTTAGATTTTATTTTTTATTTTAAAAAATCATAATTAAATTTGAATGAAGCCAAAATGGTTATCACAATATTCCAACAAATTATCATGCACAAAGTGCGTCAAAATAGCTGAAACTTACACTAACCTCACTTTTTTCCTTTTCTCTTTCTCTACTCACAAATTAATAATTAGATTAATAAATAATAAATATATGAAGAAGTTAAGAGGGAGAGAGAATAAATGGCAAGAGCCTCAACAATGTGTGCGTTCGAAAACGGAGCGACTTCAAAATGGACCAGAAGAGAGGCGGCATCGTTCACACGTCGAGCGGGGATGGGGCAGGAATCGGGTGCCATGCAGCCGGGCCCGGCCGGGGATCTGTCTTCCGAGAGAGCAGAGTTCCAGCATTTTCGTGAGAGTGGGGGGGGGGGGTTCTCGCTATCGCCGTCGTCGTTCTTCGTCGTTGGGTCTTCCTCCCTCCCTCCCTCCCTCGCATCTCTCTCATCTCAGCGCACGAGCTCTCACTCTCTCTCTCTCTCTCTCTCTCTCTCTCTCTTTGCAACTTGCCTGCACATTCTTGCTACAGATCCACAATACCCATCTCTTTTCCCTTTCCTCCCTCCTCTTGCCCCGCCTCTGCCCGATCTGTGCACCATCAGGTATGTGCATTGTTTCTGTTTCTGTTCTCCCTGCTTCGTCGTCGTTGTCGTCGTCTTTTCTCTCTTCTTCACCCCTTCAATGCTCGTCAACTGTCTCTATTAGTCTAGGGTTCAGTGTTCTTCATTCTGCGTTGCTACATTGCAACGTTGCTCCTTTTCCGCTCTGTTTCATCCACCGAAGCTGCTGGTATGCTTGATATTAAATGTGGGTTGTGCGCGGTCGTCTGTTTGAGATCGTCCGTGTTGATTGTTGCTGGATGCGAACTGGTGCTAGATTCTGGAGGGTTGGTCGCTGTGTCCATCTGCTCCGCGGTTGCTTGATCACAAACCTGGGCGAGATTTTTAGTGGAATGAGTGCGTAGCTTCTCTGGGTGTGGAGTCACCATCGTGCAGATATGTGGAACGTGTGCTTTTCGGTTGGAGGCTGGAGATTCTTCAATGCAGCATTTAGTGGATGAATGAAAGATTTAATGGCAGAACTTAGTCATGTGGGTTGGTATGGGCATTGCTGGGCTTTGTGAGAGGCAACAAAATTCTGTTTTCTTTTATCCTGGAAGAGAACCATATGTAGTGGAAGTTCGATTTTAAACATTAAATGCGTTCGTTAGGCGAGTTCTAGAGTGGCCTGATTTAAGATTCCAGCTTGATACGGTAGCTGCAGCTGTTTCACCTGAATTCGAACTTGCTGAGATCAAGCTGGCAATGCAAGTGTATGAACAGCGACCTTTAATGTGATGCTGGATGCATTGCTCACAGGTTATGAAAGAGGAATTATGGTGCTTGTTCGTTCAGTCGTGATTCCCATCACATTATAAGTTTTTTTTTTTTGATGTTTCCTTCAACTCGATGCAGGAACCTGGTGTGGACTGCAGCTAAAATCTGTCAGAATTAAGGGAGGTGAACCGGTGCTATGAGACCTACACGCGTGGCTGTATTGTAGAAGTGGAATCAATATGGTCCTTGAAGACCAGAATTATGGAAGGGTCATGATTGGAGATAAATAGTAAGGGTGAGATTCTAGCAAGGAACAGATGTCAAGTAGGTGGTCATCATGAAATGGATTGAGCGTTTCAAAGAAAAAGTGAGTCAGACCACGTTCTCTCCAACAAGCCCACGGGCAAGGTTATCTCATCAGTATTCTGAAGATGGAACTCCTAGAACCAGGTATTAGTTGGCCAATTTTTGTACTCTCTGAACTGATCTCATCATCAGAGTGTGAATTGTGATCACCTTGAGATGTTAAAAAATAAATTTGAAGACTCTATGATCTGCTTCATAATTTCTGACTACTGATTCTGCACAACTTTAGTTTGCTTTCTTGGGCTCAATAATATGATGACAATTCCAGATTTTAATCCTACAACTGATACATTAATTGGCCTCTTGCCTTTACTTTGGATATGCGTATTCTGTATTTACTACGTGTTGTTTTCGGACGTGTGTGCAGTCGCAAAGATTTGTTGGAGCAAGATTTTCGATTTGCTTGGGAGGATTTTCGATCATCAATTACTGATCAGGTAACGGTTCGCCCTTGATTGGGTGTTGGCAGCGCTGGTTGGATGGTTTGAATTTGGTTTACTAACTGTCATTCAATTCTTAATTTGGTATCGTTTCATATGCTTCCCTCAAACAGTTGCTAATTGTTATTTCAAAACCACTGGATATGTTTGGGATTCTCTGCTGTACTCTTGCTTCGTCTTCATATTATGAGGACGTCTACGAATATTGCTACATGCTACTCGTTTTGTTGCGTCATGCATTTCAACTTTCTTGGTCTCTTTCTGTGTAGGAAAAGGAGAAGGCTTTGGAAGTAGCTGTTAGCCTTTTTTGTAAAGTTGCTCGACAGGGTTCAGACCCAGCTCAACTTGCTCTTTCGTATGTCTTGTCCCGCTCAATTTTCAGTGTTGCATTCTCATTTTTATCACCCATGCACGGACTCTATGCACACTCTAAGAAGCAAACGTCGACTCGTGCCATGTACTGATGCCCAATTCTTTCAGCGGATTTTTCACTTCCTGGTATTGTCATTGCATTAGTGTTGCCAATGATAATGATTGCCATCTGTTCATTCTATACAGGTTGGTGGATGTGCGTACATTTGAATTCGTTTTAGCTCGAGCACTGGTTACAGAAATCAAGAAATTGCGTGAAGATAGTTTAAACGGGCTGCTTCAACCTGACGACATATGGAGTTTCTTTACTGGGTCACATGTCGAGGTACATGAGTCTGGACTACTTCAAGTAATGGAGCCTATTTGTTTGTTATTATTAGAGGAAGGCTGTGTTGTTATTGTTTATGCAAACTTCTGCATTATGACTGCAGGGAAAAGTCGTAAATGGTGCAAATCTTCTTTTCGCCTTGGAAGGCCTCGTCTCTCCGGTACGTAACCGTTAACTTGTGTATTCCATGTTCCTAAATGTGCTCAGGTTAGAGAAAGAGAGCAGTTTGCAGTGATGTGTATGATTCATTCCTGAGTTGACAAGTAGATTTCCAGATGTGCGAAGTGAACTTTACGCTATGCGTGCATGCCAGATCTTATTAATTCTGCTTGTATGTGCAGGAGTTGGACGTCCAACCACTGATCGATGCTGGCCTATTTCCTGCCCTTGTCACCGTTTTATGTCGTTTGATAAGCTCTTCTGTGTCACCCAGTGATCAGACAACTTCTGGTGATAGTGGTCCGCTTTCAACAAACAGTTCCACAGAACCAACCAACACTTTGATAGCTGAGGATGAAGGGGGTTTGCTTCCTAATTCGATTTCTGCTGTGAAAGCCATGGTTGTTGACACAGAAATAGAGGATGTATCTACTACACGAGCTAAAGATGCTGCGGACACAGCTTCTCTACACTCTGTTGATTCGAAGTGGCGGAGTAACGATGAAGTCCTTTCATCGATAGAAACAGTTGTGGGAGAACCTGTTTTAATTTCTGGTACAGAAGGGGTAGGGAATGAAACTCCTAGTCTGATCGACTTGACTTCCCTGAATCAGCAGCCCACACACAAAGAAGATGAAGTTGCAGCTAGTGTGCTGGAGGAGGTGCCAATGAAGGAAAGACGAGCTTTGGTGCACATTTACAACGCCTTTTCTTAGTTACTCATTTATTTGTCTGCGTTTTCGTGTTTGTGAAAGTGTGCAAGAGTTCGCTTCTTGTATCTTGTTTTGGTAGAGAGGATTAAAACAGACTACCTAATACTGCAACTATTGGGTTGACTCGTGAGTTATGTTTTGTAATGGTGCTATGATGAGCATAGGTGGAAGCTAGTGTTATCCATATTTTGAAAGCGATGGCACAACATGCTGGTGCAGCCCAAAGTCTTCTAGAAGATGATTCACTTAAGTTACTGTTTCACACTGTGGCCATGGGGGCTTTTATAAGAGAGGAAGGAATTTCTGAGCCTGCGGACTTTCAGGGCAGCTTCCCTACACACTTGGCTCATGCCACGACGGTGCGCTATTCTCTCCATATTGTGTTTTTACTTTGTAATTTTCATTATTGATGTCACTGAGTGCTGGGAATCTTGTTGGCCCTTATTGGATATGACCTGTGGATTATCAATACCACGTCAGGTTTGTTTCCTTAATCACATTGAAGAACGTGCTTCTTCAGGATTCTATAATTTTTTGGTTGTTTTGCAGATTCTTGAGGCTGCATTAATGAGCGATAATGGAAGCACCGCTCAGTATATTCGAACCCATGAACTGGTTTGTATACGATTTCAAAGAATTGGCTTTAACTTTTCGCACTAGTGATGCTTAACTGTCTTGATGTGTTACTTTCTGCCTAGTTTGACTGATTCTGTGGTTGATATGGATGTCTTTCTGAGCAGATCGAAATGCTACTGTCACCTGTCAACAAGTTTCTGCTTGAATGCAACGGTGATGCAAGCTACACTGTTGGTGTCGTCTCTTTAATTCTCAAATGCATGCAGGTCTCGTCTCGTGCAGGTACATAAAATTTAGATGTTACTCTTTCATTCTAATTAGTCTGAAATTTCTAGTTCCTTCTCTTCGCTTACTTTTCTGTATCATATAAGAACATTCCGTACAAGGTGTAAAGTAAACTTCAGTTGATCGCAGAGTCTCGTGGAATACGCTTGAAAGACGATTTTCGGAAAGGAAAAGGTTACTCTTGCTTGGTACAACTAGCATTGCGATTGTCTGCTTCGCCGGAAAATAAAGAGTATTCAGAATCACCCAACATGAATCGCGATTGTATGCTCTCAAATACCTCATGTGGTCAAGTTTCCGATGATCACCAAACAGAGGTCAGTGGCGAATGTAGTGGGACCTTGTCGCCTTTGTTGATACGTCTTCTAGACATCCTTGTTGATTTTGCACAAACAGGTGCTAGAGCACCCCACCGCTCATTATCGGGCATCGGTGGGCGTTCTGGACGCCTAGCTTCCGTCAAACCAGTGCGAACTCTATTTGAAGGAATTGGTTCAGCAGCCATTTCGGATCCCCGCGAACCTGATTTAGAGGGTAGAATAAGGGATATTGAAATAGTTCAGACTTTCCAGGATATTTTCCTCAAGACAGGAAATATAATTCTGCAGCTTGAAATACTAGACCGCTTGCTCAGATTATTTGCCAGCCATCCAGACAATTACGTACTTGTACAGGAGTTGCGTACAATGCCTCTCTTCTTACAAAACATGGGCAAATACTTATTGATTCTCCAAGAACGGCTTTTGAAGGTTTTGGAGTACGCAGTTACCGTTGTAAATTGTGTTCCCGAGCAAGAGCTTCTTTCTCTTTGTTATCTTCTCCAGCAACCTTATGAATCATCTTTGCGCAAAATAGTGTTAACATTTTTCGAGAAACTGTTGTCATTTGATAGGAACTACAAGAAAGTGTTGAGGGAGGTAGGATTATTGGATTTATTACTTGATGATTTGAGGCGGTGTGGTCTTTCAGAAGTCTCTGCTTTTAAAAATTCCTCTGAGCCTTTAGTTAAATCTCCTTCTCGAGAGCTCTGTATCTTTGAAGACATGGTCACTGTCGGGTTAACCTGGGACTGCCTACTCTCCCTACTGAAGAAGAGTGATGGTAATCAAACTGTGTTTCGGAAGGCGAATGGAGTTGGTTATATCCTCCCTCTTGTAGCTTCAGCTTCTCAACGCAGCGGTGCACTTCGTGTGCTCTCATGCCTTATATGCGAAGATGTCAATCAGGTCAATAATGATTTCCTTTCCCCTTGCTCGAATTTTACCGCATGTCTGGACCACTATCCTTGCACGATTTGATGCGTTGATTTGAATAATATTATTTACATTACATTTTAACATGCTGTTTTTGCTTCTGCGGAGATGGATAGAGAGTTCTAATGTTTTAGTGATTCTTAAAATACTCAGGTTCGCAGTAAGAGCGATGGCTAGAGCAGTTATAGTTACATTTGACTATCCAGTTTCTGGTTATCCTTTTGGGCTTTCTAAGACTTCTGCACGTTTCCAGGCTCACGCAGATGAACTCAAGTCTCTCTTAAAGATTGCCCATAGTGGAATTGTTTACGGCCAGAATGGATTACCGATTGGTCTAGACACGGAGGGAAAGGAAGACATATTGTGGGCAGTTTGGCGAATCCTTGGAGCCAACTTTACAACTCGAGTTGTCTTCGGTGATGGGAATGGGTTTGGTCTTCTTCTTTCTGTTTTGGAAGGCATTCAATCACGCCACGAGAATTCCAGTGCGGAGTCAGTTGCTGATGAAGCTGCATTTGTTCCAAATCTTACTGAGCACATGGAAGTTCTAGATGCATTACTGCATGTAGTCACTGTAGGAGCAGCCGAGTATCCTCCGAACCGGAACAAGCTGCATGAGTGCATTTCATCACAAACTTTTAAACGCCTATTGCAGACATCCGGGCTTCTGTGTTCCGATTTTGAGGAAAAGGTCGCAGAGCGTTTGTTTGATGTAGCACTAGAACGAGTTCTATCTCCTTCGCAAAGTGCTTTGGGCCTTCCAATTTTGTTGCAAGGAGATGGAACTAAGAGCTTTAGGATTCCAGGAGCAGAGAAAGATTTTCCTGTAAACCCTGGCCAAATAGCGCAGATAGATGTATATAATCCGGGGGCAATCGCAGTTCTTCTGTTTTTTTTACCACAGTTTTCTGCGAAATTGCAGCTTCGTATACTGATCCAGGTCGAGAGAATTGTCAGTAAAAGTCCGTGGAACCAGAATGCGTTAACTTCTGCTGGTAAGCCACATGCGAGAGTCACAATTCATGTGCCAATTGGGATGTATAGCCTGGGAATATATTAAATATTAAACAACTATTTTTCTAAGGACTACGTAATGTTGGGAGCATTTGGTGTGGAATCTTTGCATGAAAATGCCACTCATCTTGCAGTCTAAGTGAGTTTTTTTCATAACTTTGAGCTCAGGTTGTGTGGGAGATCTGCTGGAGGCGGTTAAGTCGATGATGCAGACAAAGCCTTCCCCTCTCTTATCATACTCTCTGAAGATTGTGGAAGTTCTTGGATCCTTCAGGTACGCATATCATTTCGTGAGCTCGAGTGGATATTTTATGCATGTAGTTTTGGTGTCAGGATTTGCGTTACCATTGGCTTGACAATTTGTTATGACAGAACAGTGCAGAATACCTTCTTTTGGAACAGATCAGATTCATTTAATTCGTGCAATTTTTTTTATTTACCTCTAATCTTTCCTCGTATTCGTCTACAAAATTTTCTTATCCAACGTATCTTATATTGTATATCTTTTGCACCAAATGAGTGTTCTGGTTTCCTTTTTCTCTGTACAGATTGTCCTACTCAGAGATGCAAACATTGGGGAGAATCATCTGGTTGAATAGGGACGCGTCCGATGGTAAAATGGGTCAGCGCCTCCTACTTATGGTGGAGAGGATGAGCCAATCTTCTCCCTTCTCAAGCACTAGCCTGTCATTTTCCTCCTTTATTGAGTTTCGTATGTCTCGGATTGGACATGCTTGTATAAGGACTCCTTTAGGGGACCGAGCATGGCCTCCTACTGCTGGTTATTCTTTTGTTTGCTGGGCTCGGTTTGAGAAACTAACACAAAGTGGTCCTAACACAAACGGAGCTGAAGCAACCAAGGAATCGAACCGAAATCGATCCGGATCTTTGGGTTCTGTTTTGCGTATCTTTACGGTTGGAACAGCAGAGGAGAAGAGTACTGTTTGTGCAGAGCTCTTCCTGAGTGATTCTGGAGTTTTAACACTCGCTACAAGCCCAACATCTTATGTGTGCTTTAAAGGTGTGCGATTAGAGGAGGGTATTTGGTACCATCTCACCATAGTGCACAATAAACCCAACGCATTGGCAGGGCTTTTTCAGTCTAGTGTTGCACATCTCTATCTGAATGGGAGCCTTCGACATACAGGAAAGCTTGGTTACTCTGCCTCACCTACTGAAAAGTCATTACAGGTCTGTGATACCTTTCTTATATGAGATTCCATACATGGTATAATTATGGGCTTACAAGAATGTGCTGGTATATATACATCCTTTTTACTGTCAAATTATGTCTTCGACTAAAAGTGCTCAAACTAAAACTGCAGGTCACAATAGGCACTCCACCTTCCTTTTCGGAAGTTTCGCCTCTTACTTGGCAGCTTGGTTCATGCTACTTATTCGAAGAAGTACTCCCTGCTCCGGCAATTTTCTTCATGTATGTGCTTGGCCGTGGTTACCGTGGTCTTTTCCAAGACACTGACTTGTTGCAGTTTATACCTTATGAAGCCTGCGGTGGGGGTAACTTGATGGTTCTAGAAAGCTTAGATACAGAGCTTTTAGCTTCGCTAAGGGCTGAAGGAGTAAGTCAAAGCGCTGGAGTGGCTCTATCTGAAGGAAGTGGAGTTATTTGGGACCTTGAGAAGCTTGCCCGGTTTTGGGCTCAGCTTTGTGGTCGCCATCTAATCTTTGCCTATGATGGCTCAAATGCGGAGAATGTAGTACCAGCTGGTGCCATTTCTATTGTGAATTTGGTTGATCCCATGTCGGCAGCGGCCTCTGTTCTTGGAGGTACGCTCTTGCTACAAACAGTTTTATATTCTTATTCTCTTAACTCCAAGTTCGTCATATTTACGTGTCTTTGATGTGATAGGATTACCAAGACTAGCGCGAATATATGGAGACGTCCACATTTGTACGCCCTGTAACATTGCAGATTCTATGCGCAAGGTGGGAGGTGTGGCAGTTGTCCTGGCTATGATAGAGGCTGCTGATACCTGTGAAACGCTGCACCTTGCCCTCTCTGTTTTGGTGTCTATGCTACAGTCAAATCCTCGAAATGCACGTGACATGCAAGCTTGTCGGGGCTACCATCTATTGGCCTTGTTTCTTCATCGAAGGATGGATTGTTTTGAGGCACGAGATCTTGATTTCTTGTTCCGAATTGCATCCTGTGAAGCATCATTTGTCCAGAAGCCACCCCAGACAACAGCCACTGCGCCTGAACCGGCTGGCCATAGTAGGAGTTTAAGTGCAGGACTTGATACAGCCATGAACCTTTTGGGGTTCTCATCTAGGGTTGCAGACGATCAAGCATCTAACTATGGGTCTACCTTGGAGTATCCAGATAGCCTTGGGATGAATGAATCGATTGGTGGATGTGTGTCTGACATCGATGGTGTCGATCTCCCGCATGAAGACATTGATTGCATAGTCCTTGCTAATCCAGAAATGATGGAACATGTTTTATTAGATTGGACTTTATGGGTAACTGCACCTATCGGTGTTCAATTAGGCCTTCTTGGTTTCATTGAAAGGCTTGTTTCTATGCATCGGTATCGTCTTCATAACTTAACTGTGCTAAGAAAACTCAATCTAGTTCAGCACTTGCTGGTTACCCTGCAGAGAGGGGATGTTGACATTTTGGTTCTAGAGAAGCTAGTGGTGCTGTTGGGCATCATCCTTGAGGATGGATTCTTGCCTTCAGAGCTCAAGTATGTTGCAGATTTTGTTGTGATGACATTTGACCCACCACATGTTGTAAAGGGTGTGTCGGATATTACCCGTGAGTCTATGGGTACACAGGTAGGTTCTCACTCATTGCCTAGTTCAAGTGTAGAACTCTTTTTATATCCTAACTGAGAAAGATCAATCTGGTCTAGACCATCGATTGTGTGGAAGATTTTCTTTGATTGTCCGTTCTTGCGGTTATTTTGTATCCTGGGGTGACTAGGGGTTAGTTTGTCTATAATGGAGGGGGTGCAATTATTAAAGGGTGATTGGAGCTCAAAATTTTTATCATGTTTTGCCCATGAAATTTGCGTACTCTTTATCATATGATGACCTCATTCTGTGCTTTTTTATGTTTGAGGCAGGTTATTGTAAGAAATTTGCTTCTCGAGATGCTCGTTGAACTTCAAATGACTATTACAGCAGATGACATACTAGATACATGGCATAAAATCGTGTCTTCAAAACTGATCACGTTCTGGTTGGACGAGGCTGTTCATCCTACCAGTATGCGTTGGGTTATGACATTACTTGGTGCATGCCTGTTGCCTTCTCCTACATTTGCTGCCCGCTTTAAAAGCTCAGGTGGCTTTCAAGCCTTGGCTCGTGTTTTGCCAAGCTTTTACGATTGTCCTGAAGTTTACTACATACTCTTCTGCCTCATTTTCGGGAAGTCAGTGTATCCTAGACAACCTGAGGTACAGTCATTCTCCCATATTAGCTTTCCTTAGTAGTGCTCTAGTTATCAGAATGCTCTATGTAGAAACTTTGCTTGTGCTGAGGGTTCTTCGGATTCTTTTTTATAATTAAAAAAAGAAAGCAAGAAGAAAAAGAAAAAAGATTTTTAGGCACTTCAAGGCAAACCATGTTAACATGCGGGGGTTTATGTTTCAGGTTTGTTTGCTTGATTTTCATGCTTTGTTGCCTGAGGACGGGAGTAAATCAGAGCTTGTTTTTACCGAACTTTTAGACTCCGTCGTATCAATGGCGAAGGCAGCATTTGATCGTATGTTGGTAAAGTCTGAATCAGCTAAACAAAATGGCGACTTCTCTGGCTTAAATGTTTCTTTTGTCTCTGATCAAGATGATGGAGAGACACTTCAGGTTGGTATTCTGTGCCGATTTTGATGCATTACTTTGCTGGTTTCGTTTATGCAACTGCCCAACTGAATATACGTACTTGATTCTAATTGTAGGGTGAGGCTCTTTTACATAAGACGTATGCGGCTAGGCTTCTGGGAGGCGAACAGGCAGCTCCTGGGATGATTTCATCTCTACTGCGGTTTATGGTTGATTGTGCAAAGATGTGTAAACCTTTCTCGATGGCGTGCCGTCGCTGTGACTTTCTCGAGTCCTGTGTGGATCTTTACTTTTCCTGTCTAAGGTAGCTTATGCACCTATCTTCAATGAATTGCTAAATCTACTGCATATGATTGTGAGGGGTTTGTGTTGGGTGACATATTTCATAGTTCGTTTTCTTTGAATTGCTCTGATCACTCGTTGAATAACTGCTTCGGGGTGGTTATACATCCTGATGGTTTGCTTATCTTTTTATTAGTGAGAATGTGCAAAGTGGTCAGCTATGATTTAACTTCTTAAGGTTTCCATTCTGTGCAGGACTGCTGCCGCAGCACAAGGTGCACACGATTCTAAACGAGACACAAGGCATCAGCCATCGGAGGAAGATTTGATGAGCTTGGAAAAATCATCTGCCGTTGAAATTTCTAATGTTGGAAGAGGAACTATTGATGTTTCTGAGCTTACTGCTGTTACAGAATATCCAATAGAGATGACATCAAGAGTTTCACCAAAAAATGTATCTAACAGTGGGAAGTTTGGGGATTCTGCTCAAGAAAGTCATATCTCCTCTATTTCAGGTAATCCCTGAACCTAGCCACCAGCTACTTGGTCTCTCTTATATTTTTAAATTTGTGTGAAAATCCAATGATGGATTGCTTTTAACCCTTTTTTGTTATTGCATTATAGGTAATTTCTATAGCTGCAATTCACCTAGGCCTACTACGTCGGTGCCTCTGCCTATAGTTTGTTCACTTGACTGAATGAGTTTCAATACATGATAGTGCTCTTCCCTGCTTTATTCAAGTACTAAAACGACATTTCTCATGTCGCGATTTTAGATTCTTCATTTTGACGCTTCTAGATTTTGATGTAATTTTCATGGTTAATGTTCTTATCGTCTTAAGTAGAAGATATTTTTTCTTATTTTAGATGTGGATCACTGCAGAGTCTGAAGCTCTAACAGTTGAGATGGCTACATCGCCGACAACTTCAGAACTGTCATGTATTTCGATGCTCACTCCAAAGCCGGTAAATTCTGTAGTAAAACCATGGCTGACACAGCCCTTAACTTTGAACTTACCTGAAAATAGGCAAACCACGACACACTCAGCTCCTCCAACGCCACTAAGGTCCACAAAGGACCGAACCAGGCACCTTTCTTTCTCAGCCTTTTCAACTATTTCTGGCAATCAGAGTGATGCTGAATTCAATTTTAGTGAGTTCGGCCCTCCATCTTCTACAAGTATTACGCCCAGCGAAACTTTGAACGCAGGGATCACCCCTCGTTTGCTTTTACAACTGGAAGCTATGGGTGCCGGGGGTGGGCCTTGTGCGGCAGCTGCATCTGCCATAATGGATTTTATTGCAGAGGTGCTCGCAGAAACTTTACTCGAACAGGCCAAATCAACAAGCTTAGTAGAGAGTATTCTTGAAGCTGTGCCCATGTATGTCAGCGCTGATGCAGCTCTTATTTTTCAAGGACTTGTTTTGAGGCGAATAATCAATGATCTTGAGAGAAGGCTTATGCGAGACTCAGAGGAAAACCACAAGAAACTAGATAAAAATAGGTACCTTTCTTGCCTTTCCTCATGCATATGATCATTTGTACTTCACTAATGTATGCTCTTCATATCTTTGGTACTTGTTACGTAGTATAGTTAGATAGATATCTGTTTCTGAGATGTACAACACATTTCGGCTGTAGCTTGCTCAAGTAATCCATTGAGACTTTGAGCAATCTATCTGGAAGACTTCGTGCCTGATTGCGAAGTTGTTTTTTTTAAAGATTGTTTTCGTTCTAAAGTTGATGATTTATACAGGTGGGCTCCCAATCTTGATACGCTGAGTTGGCTGTTGGTCGACCGCGTGTATATGGGTGCATTTGCAGAGCCTGGGGGCCCTCTCAACGTCCTTGAGTATCTTCTCTCAATGCTCCAATTAGCCAACACAGATGGGCGTGTAGAAGATGCAACTCCAATCGCCAAGAGCATGCTGTTCACAAGGAGTGGCGGACGTCAAGCAGAAGCATATGTTCAATCACTTTTGAAGAATACGAACAGGATGCTTATGTTTTGTTTCTTGCCACAATTGATTAACAATCCTATAGAAGAAGATTCTTCCACATGGAATGGCAAAAGAATTCCTCGATCTGGCTCAGGCTCTGAGATATTTACGGAAGTTGTTCCAAGAAATCTTGAAATAGGTTCTGGGGATGTTGGAGTTACTTACCAAGTTATTCTTGACAAGGCCGCAGTATTGCAATTATTGCTTGCGAATCGAAAAATAATTTTTTGCACCGTCAATGTAGACCTTGAGTTGGTATGTGCTCTTTGTATAAATCTTTTTCCAATGGCTTTGGATAATGAACAAAGCAACAAGACCTTGGTTTTTGATGTCTGGAAAGCGTTATTGGCAAATCGCAGTTCTGCTTTGGAGGATTTGCTAATTACACGGAGCAGTCAGGTGAGTTGTCGACAACGTCTTATTTGCCTTGATAGTTCTTTAGTTGGAGTAATGCTTACGAGGATGAAGTTTAAGTGGAAAGCTTGTTGGAACTTCGAGAAGACCACATAAGTTTAGGTTTCACATTAAATTTGAATCTACATGGCTGAATTTCATATTATCTTGTATACTTTCTCATTCTTGTTACGGATAACGTCATTATTATGTCATGGAGTACATAGGTTGTATCATGGTGTTTTTGGGGGAACCTTCTGTACGTACCTGCTGCGTGGTCTACTATACTCATTAATATTCTACTTTTTTCTTTCAGGGTAATGTTTTGATGGATGTACTCCATGGGGGCTTCGATCGGTTGCTGACAACAGGAGTTCACGACTTCTACAGATGGCTTGAAGAGAATTGGGAATCTGTACAGAGAGTGCTTGAGCAGCGAGCATCCACTGTATGGAGAGATTATGTGTCTGGAGCATCACGTTTTCCTGCGGCTCGAATTAAATCTATGGAGGTTCGTCGACGACGAGAGATATCTCGTCGCACCAGAGAACGTTCTAAGATGGATACTCGCCATTGGGAACAAATGTTGGAAAGGCGAGTAGCACTTGAGTTGGTCAGAGAGGCAATGGCTGCTGAACTTAGGGTTCTTCGTCAAGACAAGTATGGATGGATACTTCATGCTGAAAACGGGTGGGCAAACCATCTTCAGCAGCTAGTTCATGAGCGTGGGATTTGGCCAATTGTCTCAGAGGTCCGTGATGAAGAGCCTGATTGGCAGCTGTGTCCAACCGAAGGTCCATATCGCATGCGGAAGAAATTGGAACGACGAAAGAAAAAAATTTCCGTTTTTGAGAAGTCTCAACTCATGGTACGCATCTGATCTAAAAATATAAGAAAGAACAAGATAAATTAAGTAGAGGATTGCTCACTTTCGCAACCCTCTACATGGATATATTCAGCTTTTGACTTAATATTATGATTCTCTCTTCCTCCGAACTCAACGAGATAAAGGAGTGTATGAACTATTTGATAGAGTGATTGAATTTTGTATTGGTTTTTAATTACGCTAGCGATTCGAAAGAGTTTCTATTTTTATCTTGCTTTACGAGCTGCTAGATGATGTCTTTTTCTCATATAGTCTTGGAGGAAACTGATCCAATAGTGGCAATTGAAATCAACTTAACATGGAGCATAATAGTATGAATTCAAGCAAAAGATCATAACTGGATCCGTGAAATTATTTGTGTGTTGGTTACTCATTAATAATCGCGGTTTTCTGATCAGGTGGAACGAGAGACAGAAGCGTTGGATAGGTGTACTCCAATTGATGTGATAAATCCTTCAGACAAAGAGAATGCACTTCATAATCAGTATGTTGACATATTCAACTTCGATACCCAGAAACGCCTAGGATATTCAAGCAAAGAGTTTCTGGTGTCGCTTGAAGAGGACATAAGCGAGTTGAAGAATGAGATTGGTGAAGAGGAGGAAGATGTGTTATCTGCAAGAGTCGACTGGAATGAGGAACCCTTTCCTTCTGGCTCAGAATCTCAAGTACCAAAGGCTATGAGTGTTGCCTCCCTCAAACTTGCTGGAGAAGAAGTTACCGACCAAACCTTAGGTTCTTCACAGGGACGCGGTTCTCCCGCTGAAAAGGATGTGCCAGAAGAAGCAAATTACTTGGAGCAAGAGATGCACGAAGATGGAGAATATTTGATTAGGCCTCATTTGGAGCCTGGAGAACGCATAAGGTTTCGATACAATTGTGAGCGAGTGGTTGGCTTAGACAAGCGGGATGGAATTTTTCTTATTGGAGAAAAATGCTTGTATGTAATTGAAAATTACATTATTGATGAAAATAAGTGTATAAAAGAGAAAGGTGAAGAAAGAGATCTTTCAGTCATAGATCGGGCTCTTGGAGTTCGTGCTAATTCAGCTCGTGTAGTGGATACGCATAGCTCAAAGCAAGGTGAAGTTGTCGCGGATTCCTGGCCAGGAGGCCGTGCTTGGGCTTACAGTGGGGGTGCGTGGGGGAAGGAGAAGGTCAGTCAGAACTGCATTAAGTGATGCTTTTCTAAACCTCGTAGTATTTCACATGCTTTCCATTTCCCCTCATACATGCTTACTGTAATTGGACTATTATTCTCAATTCATTGCAGGTGAAAGCAGGCCAAAATATGCCACATCCATGGAGGATGTGGAAACTGGAAAGTGTGCATGAGTTGTTGAAACGGCGATATCAGCTACGTCCTGTTGCTATTGAACTGTTCAGCATGGATGGATGTAATGATCTGCTCGTTTTCCATAAAAATGAACGAGATGAAGTTTTTAAAAATCTTCTCGCAATGAATCTTCCACGTAATAGCATGTAAGACCATATCCTCTGCAGCTCCTGAATTTATGGTTTTAGCTATGTCATTTTGTGAAGCTATGAGGAGGTAGCTGAAGATGTAGGTCCAGGTTTTCATGTTTCTGATAATGAAATGAGGCAAGATCGTTTTATTGACGTAACTTGCTTACTTTTGAGATTTAACACAGGTTGGATACAACAATTTCGGCCGCATCTAAGCAAGAGGCTGGTGAAGGTGGACGCCTCTTCAAAATGATGGCCAAGTCTTTTAGTAAAAGGTGAGTGTTTCTGTTTCAATGAGTTCTGAATACAGCTTCCAACGATTGTTTACTTTTTTTAATAACTGTGCCGTTTCTCTGTTTTACATGCTCTTCGTATTGTAATTATCATTGTTCGCTTTTGGTTGTAGATGGCAAAATGGAGAAATCAGCAATTTTCAGTACCTTATGCACTTGAATACACTAGCAGGTCGTGGTTATAACGACCTGACACAGTACCCAGTATTTCCATGGATTTTGAAGGACTATACAAGTGAAGAACTGGACCTGTCTAACCCAGACACTTTCCGCCGCCTTGATAAGCCTATGGGTGCTCTACATCCTGAGCGTGAAAAGGAATTCAGAAAAAGGTGATCCTCCTTCTATCATACATTAACATTTTTTTGTTTAAGCGTGTGAATGTAATTGAAGTGAAATGTTGGATGTTCAGTTCAATCGTAGTCTTTAAACGCCTCAATGCTGATCTAAACACTACAGAGGTGACTGGAATGATCATACCTTAAGCGTCTCTAAGTCATTCTGTGTATCGAGAGGACAGAAGAACCTATGTTGGAAGTTCTGCTGATGAACATTGAAATAACTATCTGGCATTCAGGTATGAGACTTGGGAAGATCCCGAAATTCCTAGATTTCACTATGGTTCACACTATTCTAGTGCTGGAAGCGTGTTATTCTACCTTATAAGGCTACCACCATTTAGTCAAGAGAACAAGCAGCTTCAAGGGGGTAGTTTTGATCACTCTGACCGACTCTTTAACAGCATCAAAGATACCTGGCTCAGCGCAAGTCAAGGAAATACTGCCGATGTTAAAGAGCTAATTCCGGAGTTTTTCTACCTTCCCGAATTTTTGGAAAATCGCTTTGGTTTTGACTTCGGTACAAAGCAATCAGGTGAAAAGGTTAATGATGTGCTGCTTCCGCCCTGGGCAAAGGGAAGTGCCCGTGAGTTTGTTCGAAAACACCGTGAAGCCTTGGAATCTCAGTATGTTTCTGAAAATTTGCATCACTGGATTGATCTTATCTTTGGTTTCAAGCAGCGTGGAAAGGTATGTTTACGCACTCAAGAACTTTCTCCTAGTGGTCGCATTGGTTGTAACATTCCATCTATGAAAAGTTGTTTTTTAGTACAATTCTAATGTAAGTATCAGAGAAACATAATTAATGTTTACCAAGCCCTTTGCAATCTCATGTGTTTGCTTCATGTACGTGAAAGACCTGAACCTCTGGGTGTGCTTTGAACCTTACATTATAAAATTTAGCAGCCCTGTAGTTAAATATCGGCTGGCATTTACAATTCCCTTTAATCTTTATCATTTTTGAGTAGATGGGTGTTTAGGGCTCTAACATGCATTGCGTTCTGTGATACAGCCGGCTGTTGAAGCTTTGAATGTATTTTACTACTTGACATATGAAGGAGCAGTGGACATCGACCGTGTTCCCGATCCTGGAATGAAGGCTGCTATTTTGGCTCAGATTAATCACTTTGGACAGACACCAAAGCTACTGTTTACTAAGCCTCATTCTAAGCGGAAGTGGGTTCAGAAACAACCGCTTGCGCTTGCCCTCCGCAACTACCATTTGCTTGCCCCTCAGGTATTCATGAAGTTCTGAACACTTGGATTTGTTTCATACTGTTTGTCGGTTTGTTCATTTGTATTTTCTTTTGAGAATATGTGCTGGTTTTAACTCCTCCCTGTTGGTTGGTGATCGCTCTTTAGGAAATGCGGCCTTTGAGCTCAAGAGTGTCCCAAATAGTTATTTTTCAAGACAAAGTATACGCAGCAGGGGCAAACAGGATACTGAAGCCTCCCTCCTACAGCAAGTACCTTAGTTGGGGATTCTCAGATCGAAGCCTCCGGATTGTATCATATGACCAAGAGAGGCTACTTTCCACTCATGAGAATCTTCACGACGATGGACCCGTGTTGTGTGCTGGCTTCAGTCGTGATGGTCGAATTCTTGTCACTGGTAAAAGCACTAGACATTATTGTCTCATTCTATCAGCCCTGTCGATCATGTGATATCTCAAAATTTGGTAAATTGCTAAGGATTTCTCATTTCCATATCTGCAACCAACAATTCGACTACCATCCATTTTTGTGATTTATCAGGGAAGCTTTCCACTTTTAACTATTCCGTGTATATTTAGCCCGCTGACGCTTCTATTTCTGACAGGCGGGTCTGATGGGGTTGTATCTGTATGGAGGCAACGAAAAGATGGCCTTCGAGGACAGCGCCGGCTACATTTGCAGAAGTCATTGTGTGCCCACACACAATCAGTCATCTGTCTTGCAGTTTCTCAACCGTACAGTCTGATTGTTAGTGGTTCTAAAGACCGTACTGTGATCTTCTGGGATTTGTCTAGTCTCGAATATGTGCGGCAGTTGCCTGAACTACCAGACCCACCAACAGCCATTCATGCGAACGATATGACAGGCGAAGTGGTCACAGCCTCAGGGACAACTCTTTCTGTTTGGAGCATTAATGGAGATTGCTTAGCAGCTGTAAATACATCTCACGTTGCTGCTGATACCATTCTTTCCATCACTAGCCCTCATTTGTCAGATTGGATGGAGGCAAGCTGGTATGTTGTCTTTACTTTTTAAAACTTTGATCGTGATTCCAACTCAATACGGCAAGAGCACTGCATTGAGTTTGCAGATAATCGGTTCTTGAGTTGAATCTGTATTGAATGCGTCGGTATAAACGTATCTTTTCTACATTATGAAAAGCACTTCCAGGGACTTCAAATTCTTCCTACGCAGTGGAATACGAAACAACTCCACAAATATCTACGTAAGCCATTGTTACGTGCCTGATTTATGGTTGGATGCTCTTCAGGTATGTAACGGGTCATCAAAATGGAGTGATCCGTCTCTGGCATATGGAGCTCGACAACCATTCAAAACTAGATCGGAAAGCGAGCCACCGAATTTCTGACTCCTGGGGTTTGAACATGTCTAAGTCATGTATCACTGGCGGGCCCCCTGAATATCAACTGGTTTTGTATAAAGTTTTAAGTTGGCACAAGAAACCAGTAACTGCCCTTTCATTAGGGAACGACCTCAAGCAACTCTGCAGTGGGGATGCAGGTGGACATCTTGTTTCTTGGACACTGCCTGACGATGGTTTTAAGCAAACACCCTCGCTTGAAATCGAGGTAAGATGAAACTTTGCCACTGATTTTTCTTCATATCTGATTTTGAATTGTAGGATTAACACTTGATACTTAATCTTGTCAATCCCGAACACTGACAACTCGTTTGAAAAGGATTTTTTTGGGTTCATTTAGAATCATGTTTTGTTTGCTCAAAACTACGAACTCCAAACCCAAGTTGGTCTGTAGGCTGTGAGACTTCACTTTTTGTCTCGAGTTGTAGTTGAGTTGAATGTTCAAGGATTATCTCTCTTTGAAAAGGTGACGTAAAATTTAAGATCGAGTAACATACTAATAGATTCTAATCTTCAGCTTACTAACGACTTGCTTTAATTACAGCCTGATCAATGCACAACATGCCAGAAGGAGTTGGACACACCAGAGAAGAAGCACCACTGCCGCAATTGTGGGCAGATTTCATGTGCCGACTGCTGCAATAACCACATTGTTCTGGAGGATCTTGGCTATTTTAGTCCTGTCCGAGTATGTGGAAGTTGCTGTGAGTCCCGCCAATCCTCTACAGGTAGACAATTGACTTTTTCAAGGACATCCTCTGAAGTATGTTCTTTGCCTCCCACAGAGAGTTCAAGGAACGGTAGGGAAGTAGCCTCTGAACTTTTGAATGCCTTAAACTCTACTAGTGTGACTCTTACTGAAAGCAGCATCACTTAGAATGAATTGTTTAAAGGGGGCATTTAGTTAGATTCTAGCCTCTCTTGACCATTTCCATGTATAATTTCCAATTTTATTTGCAAAGTTGCTCATAACTGCCTTAAGTGCATTTTCCAAGGTTTGTGCGAACATTTGTCTTTGTTGTCATCTATATTTGGCTACATTCCGGAACGTAAATCTCGCTTCTGCACTGTTCTGTTCTTTAGGATCTTCCAACTTTGTCGCACGATATTAGCATGCCATTTCATAAACAGACTCACTTCATATTTTGATTGTTTCGAGTCATTCAATCATCTCGTGCTCGAAAGTACACTTTCTCTTCAGCCTCGCATTCTCCAGCAGACATCCTTGTGACCAGTCTTCGTGCATCCATCAAGGCAATGCATAAAGGTGGGTTTGGTGCTTGCTCTGTCTGTTCTGATGATACGTATTTGACATGTCCATATGCTTTCTTATCATAACAAACACAAGCACATGTCATGAGTTACCACTACAGGATGTCCACACATCGTGTTATCCACACCAGAGTTTCGGGCGCTAAGACTAGTTGGAAGTTGAGAAACGAAACTCGGATGCAGTTCCAGAAATGAAGATGTACGTTAGGTGGTTGTTCTCCATGCGCTCATCCAGTTCCCCCTGCACCTGTAGACCACCTTGGGAGAAGACTCTATCTTGCTAATTTCTTGCCCAAGCCCTCACGCCAATACTGGGTTAGAGTTTCTGCATTAACAAGAACTTCAAATTTTACGCTAGAAATCTGTTGATTATGAGCACCCCGCCCTAGTGAGTTGGCAGCTACACAATCTTGGGATTGTGCTTGGAAAGGTGGCACCTTCCTCAGCTGGATCCCCAAAGTTTTGATTCGAACTTTGCTAAAGTTGGCACTCCAAGAACGTGTTTCCATGATACCTACTCAATGAGCAACCAACTGGTAGTGGATGGAGAAGAACCAACAAATGGTGGAACTTTAGTGCAGGAACTAGCATCTATAACCATCGTAAATTGCATATGTAACTTCCCCATGCGAAATAAATGAAATCAGTCATGTGCCCACCGCATGCATAATTCAGAGCGTCAGTTGAATTTAATACTGCGTCTTGCTCTGTTCCAAGCCCCTGCCCGATGAGAGTAACAACAATCACTAATTGACAGAACCTACAGTACCCTTCGAACCTCGACTCCAATCCATTCACATCTAACAACTCCTGCCAAGAAATTCACCACTTGCTTTGCTGAAGAGATATCTGAAGAGGAGATGTTGTATCAAACAGATTTGCAACATGTCAGGTGGGCTCATGTTGTAATTTACAGATTAGAGTGGTATCGGTCTTTACATGTGCCTGCACACAGCAGAGTACTCTACACAATGTCTTCCAAAGCATGCCTTTTGGCTGCCCTGGAAATGTCACCCTCTACCTTACTACCAGTTCTACAATTACGATACTTTACATGTACAAATATAATAATCTTTCATCTTTAATTGGCCACTTCGGCGCATCGTAAATTCTCTTCTCATGGAACTCTTGTGAATGGTTTACTTGCAGTCTAGGCGTACACATCAGTGCTACCAATTAACTGCAAAATCTACTTTCAAACCAGGTGCGCCATGGCGACCACCCAAACCCCTCATGAATTCCCTGAGTCTCAAAGACCTCTGGACCAGAATCATGTGGTAGGCTTTTTCATTTGGTATAGTCCCAAGTGAAATATCCAGAGACGTAATATCAGGTGTCCCCTGTCAAGACGTGCATATGGTATCGGGTCTGTAACTCCATGGCCTCGACGTCTGTTTGTCACATATTCAGATCCTATAATTCCATGGCCCCGATCTCCACAAGAGCAAAATTGGAGAGACTGTAAAACCGTCAAAACCATTCAAATAATGGACTTGCTAGGTGGATTAGTAAAATCTGACGGGGACTTGGTGCTGCCACAGACCCCCCCGGCAGGTTCGCTTCACAGATTCTTCCCAGAGCTCTCGGGAGCGTGACCTCTTGACCCTGCTTCGGAAGGAGACTGCAGCCGGCGGGTCCATTGGCTCGGAAGCACTCTGTCGCTGGGCTATGGCATCGTGATAATCCATGGCGGCCTGGGCAGGGAATGGATAGCCTCGCACATCAGGAATCTGCTGGGATGGCGTGAAATCGTCATAGTATGGCGGTACAGCAGCAATGCGTTGCCTGGCTCCCAGAAGCTGTGCCATTTGTATGTAGGGAGACAGAGAGGAGGATTCCTGAACGCTTGCAGCGGCACGCTGCAACCATAAGGCGGCTCGGAACTGCATCTCTGGGGATATGCCACCGCTCTGAGATGGAGATTGCATGGATAGTGGAGTCGGTGAGATTCGACTGCCAGGAAAAGTTGGACTTCCATAGCTGGTGACCCTAGAAGGAAAGCTATCTCGCTGGTAATGTGGGTGCAGTCTTTCGGTGGAGACCGACACCGGAACTTGGATCTTATTCGGCGTTCTCAGAACGGGTGACCCTGAGGAGGAAGAGTCAGAGGGACGATGGTCCTCAGAGTTTTTCCCGGCCAAGTTAGCTGCATAGATGTTGGCCTTCAGGGGGAAATTCAAGAGAGCCTTGCATCCGCGCATCTCAAAAGCCGCCTGGTCATATGCACAAGCCGCATCGTAAGCTGTATCGTATGTGCCGAGCCAGATACGGGCGCCATTCTGTGCAGAGTCGCGGATTTCAGCAGCGAATTTGCCCCATGGTCGTCGTCGGACGCCTCGGTAGTTCAAGGATCTGGGCAGTTTCAAGGTAGTAGATCTGGGCACGCTTGGAGAGGACTCCGAGTTGTTTGATGGCACAGAATCGATACTCATCGACTTCTGCTCGACGCTACCTTCCTGCTGTGCCACAATCGATTGCCTCATTGCAGTCGGAATTGGCTCGGTTCCCTGGGACGACGACGACTGAATTTGAGATGAGCATGGGTCTGTTTTGGAGTACGGCGCTGGATCATACCACCCCTCAACCTTACTCTCATGATCTCGCAGAACGCTCAGGAAGAACATATTCTCCGACTCCTCATTTTCAGACGAAGATTTCGAAATACCGGAGAGAGTCGTGCTCTCGGAGACAATGCATTTCGATGATCGTTTGGTCGCCAAGAAGCTATCCGGAAGCGTCAGAGTGGGTAGCGGTCGCCCTGTACGGTTACTGATCACTTGATGTCGGTCCTGTACCCGCGGTTGGCTGTCACTGAACTCCCGCTCGTCGGCAGCTCCGTCGATCTGTGATCCAGCGCAAGACCAAATTGGCATGACTTCTCTACAGCCAAACCCACTTTTGGGAGACGGCATGGGCGAAATCAGGCTCTTGAAGAAAGCCTCCGTGCTCAAGTCCCCTCCTAACACCATCATGTGCGCTGGTGGCAAAAAATGTTCCTCAGGAAGGCAGTTATCGTCGTCCTCCAGGAGGTAATGACGGAACTCTTCGATCATGCCCTGGCTCTGCATCGTCGTCCGGGGCACAGTATTGTACGGCAACACTGCCATCTCTTTCTCGCCTCTCAAGTCTTTCAAGACTGCGCCCTTCGCTCTACAGTAACTAAGTGCATCCCAGCCCACTCTCAATCCCTTCTAGTATCGGGACGCCATGACAAGTGAACTGTCAGACCGTTCAAGTTTGTCGAGATCTCATGAAGATGTTTGTCAGCTTGCACGCTCGGCCTGCCTAGACATTCCTTATTGATTGCAGTACTCGCCTGTTCTTACCGCTACCAATTGCAAGCGTTCAGAAGCTGCACAGGGGATGTCAACTGCCCTTCAACCTATCTGCGAAGGAGCAGAAAACGATGGTAAACTGATTGACACGAAGGCCAATATAACATTCCAACCTCCCAGAGTCGCCTTCCACGCTGGGCCTTGCAGCTGACAGGCACACGTAGGGTAGTCCCCACACCGTCAACTGGACCCACGTCAACCGGATTTTGCAAATTCAAAGCAGCTTTCTCCCCCATCAACGTGGCCACAGTTTTTATCCCACAACGAAGGTACCGCTTGAATTCATAATTTATTATCCTCATCTTTAGTACTGGTCCTTGAAAGCACCCCATCAGAGCTCCTTTTGCGTAATCACTTTACCACGAATTCCAGTCCCTTCGCTTTCTTTGCTTCGCCACTGTAAATTAAATCACCATATTACTAGTGATCGATCGATCAATTACACTCTCACCATGTACCGCACCAAACTGACCCCCCCAACAACATCGGCCACCTTTCAACGCCCGGAGACCCCTGTTCTGTGCCTCATCATTGGAAGTAAACGGGAGATTCACGACACTTGGGATATATAGAGGGAATTCTAAACCCTATTCTATTATATCCACAGTTGGTTTAAGCTAAATATGTCCCCCGCAAAAACGCACACAAATAAATTTTTTAAGATTGTTGAGATCCAAGTCAAACATATATTCAGCAATCGCTTCATGTCCACCCCATCTTTAAAGCTTGTCAACACTACGCACTTTGCACCATGCGGATTCTCTCCAAAGGGGGAGAGTATCTTGATTCCCAACCTTGGGTGACTGGTCCCGCGCGAGAAAGCTTAGTAAGAATCAAAAAAATAATAATAAACAAACTATTATAAATAATAAGAAGAAGAATAATAATGAGAGCAGGCAGGGGGGGAAGCGCGACGAAGTGACGGGCGTGGGGAAAAGGAGAGCTACGACTGTGCGAGGGTGCGAGGTGCTACTTCGAGGTGTTGACAAGAGCTGGATATGGAGTTGACGGGCAGTGGGGACTGCCAGAGTCCTTTTTGTCTGTTTTGCCTCCAGCTTCGAACATGGTAGCGATCTTGCCCTCCTGTCACAGGCTGTTCCTTACTTTTTCCAGTGTGGGGAGCTGGCTTTCGGGGGGCGAAGGCTGTGGGGGTGGTGTCACTGTGCAAACGCAAAGCAGAGGCGGAGGTGGGGACCCCCCTAGGGGGAAGTGGTGGAATGCATGTGAGCTGACATGTGGAAGAGGCGAATCCTGCACTGCGAGACGACGACGACGACGATGATGCCCCGCTTGATGCATCCATGCGTCGCCTGCTGCAGCAGCACCAGGCAACTCCGGTGTACAGTACAGGTGCCGTCCCTCTTGTCCGGCCCCGCCCTCGCCCCATCTCTTGTCGTTTGTCTCTTGTCGCTCGCGTTCTCCGGGTCAGACCCAGACCCTGACGATGCAACTGATTCCGTTGCGACGGTTTCTGTTGCATAACCCACCTACCCATCCATCACCACAAAACCAAACACAACACCGAACTGAACAGAACAAAACAGAAACACTGGGTGTTGTGCGACACAGCAACGAGGCGGAGGTCCTCCACACTTGCGAGCCCCACTCCTACTCCCACTCCCACTCCCACTTCTGTCCTTTCGCCGTGTTTGGAGTTTGTTAGGCAGCCTTGTGTGCGTATTTCTCAGCTCTGAACCATGGAAACTGAGCTTCAAAATTGTCTTGCTTTGGCATTAGATAAGTGCATGTGTGTATGTTCCTCCTCCCCTTTTATGCACACACATACACACCAAACAAGCAAATGAATCAATGAATGGTAACAGTGCAGGCAACTTTACTTGCTCCCAATTTCATCTTGAACTTGTATCAGAAAGTAGTTTACGAGAGGAAAATGCTTAGGCATCAGAATGTCAATATATATATATATATATATATATATATACATACATACACACACAAGCAAACAAGCACAAGCAAAATTTGGATTTTAATATACACAGAGCAATGCAGTTTCAAAAACTTGAGAATATTAACTCTTAACTGTAAAATTATTGTTACTAATCACATTATGATCGTCAATACCATTGTTGATATTACCATGGGTTGATTAATTCAATACTTGAGAAGTTCTATAAAAACTCTAAACATGCAAAATAAATCAATAATGTTTTATACACATGTACATATTATTATAAACACATTTTTTGAATGTGGAAAATTCTTAAATCATTTTTGTTTGCCAACCACCTCTAATACTCCACCAAGAATCATAAACAAACTTCCAATTTTTTTCTGGTCAAAAGGTTGTCACGTTTTATTTTATTTTCTTTTTCCAAAGCAATTCTACTACTATCCTCATAACTTCGTTGGTTTGATCTGGAGGAAGGAAGGAAAATGCAAAGCATAAATACTGAAATTTTGTAGGAAAAAGAGAAAAATGTTAAACAATGAAAAGAATGAAATAACAAAAGCTGGCCCCAGCACATTGAGATATGAATGGATTTTATGTCAAAATGTGTGTGTGGATGTATATATATATATATATATCTATACATATGTAAACACTAAAAACAAGTTACAAAGTTCATTGGCGTAGAGAAAAAAAGTATTATGTTCTTGTATTCTTGTTATGTAATATAGTATACTTTTTCTTTTTTATTTTGTTGTCACAATCTTGTCCTCAATTTGATTTTTGGAAAATTCTACACAGGATATTTTGGTGGTACAATCTTTGTTTAAATAGTATTCACATGTGTTGTCTACTTGTCAACTCTTTTTATTCTTTTAAGGTTTTTTCTGAAAGTGTTGGTGTACAAAAAATTTAAGAAATTGCATTGTGTTTTGCATGGTATATTATAATATTTTAAATGAACGTTTTGAAAAAAAAGAATTATAAGAATACAGTTCAAATGATTATCAATATATATATATATATATATATATATTTTCTCCCTCTTTTTGTTTGTTTGATTTTGACTGTGGTCCATGATGTCATGGTCTATATAACCATCTATATTATTGCAATTTCAGGAACATCATTTTATGAAAATGGAAATATTCATCAGTATCATTAAATTCATAAAGTATCACACATATTATAAAAAACTGTTAAAAAACCATTAACCACAAGAATAATAATAATTATTATAAAATAGCAGTGTACATAATAATGGATGCACATAAATGTTTAGTTAGGGTTGTCAGTTTGAATCAAGACACCACAGTTTAATGCTCCATAGTAGTCAGGAGATTGAAGGTAGAATTTGAGCAATGGATTTTTCAATGAGAATGTTATGGGTACAAAATCAATGCATGAAAGATGGTGTACTTTTAATGACAATTGGCCAAGCACCAGCTTTACATATCATGGCGAAGGTTAAAAAAATCACTCTCAAAATTTGTCTAAGGGTGGGCAACATCAAGATGTGACAAGTGCATTCAAGCCTTCTTTTGAAAAGGCTATTTTTGCACTGGAATTCTTTCATATATATATATATATATGTATACCTTATCACATATGTATATAACATTTTTTTGAGAGACTATTCATCTATGATGTTTTCCCTCCAATCGTTGGTTGTCTTGTTTTCCACAATGCAACAAAAGCATGATATGAAGGAGACTTGCAGAGGGTGGGTGGGGCATGGTAGTTGAGTATATGTGGGCACCATTAAAATGTGCCATCTTTACTAAAACCCCCTTTTCTTTATCAATGTCATTGGATCTTTTCTCCAAGGAAACTTCACTACCAATTCCACTACAACTGCACTTAGTAAATGTGAACAAATTTTAAAAGGGCAATGCTTTGAGGTTATATTAAGGACCACTCCATTCATGAGATGCTACACCATTAATTTATTACATACACACTTGTTTGACCCTATTGAAGCCAACCTTGTGGACTGTGACATCCACATACCCCATCCAATTTTAACATTGATGCATCCATTCCTCTATTGACTATGTCCATGTGCACACTCAACCACTCTCTCACACACCCACAGAGAAGCCTGGAAAGTGTGCACTTTGAGAACCACTCCATCCACAAAAATTGATGAGCACTGCAGTACACACAAATTCATGAAGAGGACAGTGAGGGACCTATGTTTCTTCTTGTAAGAGTAGCCATGATCAGCTGTTCATTGGAATCTATCCATAGAGTGGAATCCTGCTTGAAACCCTTGAAACCCTTGTGAACAAACTGACTATAGATCTGGGCAAGGCTACACATCAAAATATCCACCTGGCAAAGGGGAGGGCAGACACAGCAGGAGTTTGCAGGGGAAGAAATATGGATCTTTTTGCCTTTGACACACTTGACTGTTTTCTCTTTCTTTGTCTTCTCCTTCCTTTGTTATTGTTTATGGTTTCTTTTCCTTCAAAGGGGAGGGGTCTTTTGGAAGAAAACAAACACTTTTTTATTTCTTTCAACATCCCAAAAATACACAAAAGAGAAGGTCAGGGGGGGGGGAGGTTGAGGGAAGGGAGTTGTCGGAGGTCAAGAATCTGATCAGTTGGATTTTGATCCACCCTTCCCCTCACTTTCTTTTGGGTGCATTGAATTGGCTCCCCCTCAAGAATCAAACAATAACAACCCATAAACTTACAAATCCAGTGCCATTGTGAGCTATTGTTTACAATAAGAAAACATCATGAGAGAAGAAAGATCACATGTTGGGTAAAAGGCAAGGAATCACACACGAGCAGGGCCGTGCATGGCTGGGCATGCAAAGTGTGTTCCATGACTGGAAGGCTTTAAGATCCCCCACACACAAAGGATAACTCCCTGGCTTCCAGGTTGAGCGTGCCGGCTTGGCATGCTGACCCTGAGGGAGCGATTGTGGTGGGGGAGGGGGAGTGTAAGTGTGCAGGCATTGGAAAGGGGGATGGATGCCCACTCTTCAATGTGTGGAGGGAGTTTACTCCAATTATGGGCATAGATTGAGGGGAAATTCAATGATGCCAAGTCAACTGAAATGAGAAATATTGTTTTAAAACAACACATTTGTGCACTGACTCCCACATCCACAATGTATCTCTGGTTAAGAATATTTGTGAATGTGTAGCCTAA